GCAGAATAACCACTGTGAAAAAATAAGTGAAATTCCAAGCGCTTTCGTGATTTCTCACATTCTCAAGGAACTATAAAAATAAAATTAACAGGAAGGCATATAAGGATGAGACTACACCTCACGACTACCTCACAATACCTGACTTTTTTATGATGATGTAGGTAGGTAGCCAAGAATCCGTGAAAAACAGCTTATATGCTACCCAAAAATTTAATTTGTCTAATGTACATTAATAAATTCTGCCGAAATTTTATTAATTATAAATGAATCCAATTTGTACAACCCAAAAGCAATATTGACAGTATTTTCAAAATTATTCTTTTATGAGACGATCCTATTATATTCCTCTTGACCATGGACTTGCCAGATACAACTTTCTCAGCTTTTTGAAAATCAACTGGATAGTTAAAATCTCTCACATGAATAAACAGAGCATCAGAATCTTGTCCTCTTCTAATGCTATATTTATGTTCTTTTAATCTTAGTTCAAGACTTTTACCAGTTTGACCGTAATAAATTTTATCACATGGTTATTCTGCTTACTGTGATATCACTCTCTAACCTTCCTAAAGGATGCTTTAGGAAGGGTAAAGGGTGTGTAGACCAAGTGTTTACAGTGAAACATGTAGGTGAACAATATTTAGATAAGGATAAAGAGGTTTTTGTGGTATTTGTGGATTTGGAAAAGGCGTATGACAGGGTGGATAGGGGGACAATGTGGCAGATTTTGCAAATGTATGGAATAGGACGTAGGTTATTGAAAGCAGTGAAAAGTTTCTACGAGGATAGTGAAGCTCAGGTTCAAGTATGTAAGAGAGAGGGAGATTATTTCCCAGTAAAAGTGGGGCTTAGACAAGGATGTGTCATGTCACCATGGTTGTTTAATATATTTATAGATGGGATGGTAAGAGAAGTGAATGCTCGGGTGTTGGCAAGAGGTTTGGGGTTAAAAAATAAAGAATCTAGCACGAAGTGGGAGTTGTCACAGCTGCTCTTTGCTGATGACACTGCTTTTGGGAGATTCTGAAGAGAAGTTGCAGAGGTTGGTGGATGAGTTTGGTAGGGTATGTAAAAGAAGAAAATTGAAAGTGAATATAGGAAAGAGTAAGGTTATGAGGATAACAAAAAGATTAGGTGATGAAAGGTTGGATATCAGATTGGAGGGAGAGAGTATGGAGGAGGTGAATATATTCAGATATTTAGGAGTGGACGTGTCAGCGGATGGGTCTATGAAAGATGAGGTGAATCATAGAATTGATGAGGGGAAAAAGGTGAGTGGTGCACTGAGGAGTCTCTGGAGACAAAGAACTTTGTCCATGAGAGCAAAGAGGTGAATGTATGAGAGTATAGTTGTACCAACACTCTTGTATGGGTGTGAAGCATGGGTGGTGAATGTTGCAACGAGGAGAAGGCTGGAGGCAGTGGAGATGTCATGTCTGAGGGCAATGTGTGGTGTGAATATAATGCAGAGAATTAGTAGTTTGGAAATTAGGAAAAGGTGTGGGATTACCAAAACTATTATCCAGAGGGCTGAGGAGGGGTTGTTGAGGTGGTTCGGACATGTAGAGAGAATCGGGAAGAAGTTGATATCCTTGGGGTGAAATCTGACTCCAAACTGGCCATGAAGAACCATGTTGTAAATCTTGCAAACAAGGCAGTCAGGAAGCTTACAGCACTTCGCTGTATCTCGCATCTGCTTGACAGTAGGGCTTGCAAGATTCTGTACGAGGCACAAGTATGCTCACACCTTGAGTATGCTCCACTTTCTTGGTTTGCCTGCCCCCTCCCCTCTCATCTGCGACTGCTTGACAGAGTAGACAACAGAGCAAGACGTCTCATCTCTCGCCTGGACCAATCCTGGACAGATCTGTCATTTCAGCAGAGCCTTCAACACAGGAGGTGGGTGGCCTTACTGTTATGTACAAGGCCAATATTGTCAAAGTACCACACTTGGATCCACTTCAAGGACAGCGTGAAACAAGCTTTTATGCCACAAGACGGGCAGAAAGCAGCAACTTCACTCTGGCTGTACCCTTCTCCAGAACATCACTCCATATGAGATCATATATACCCAGGATGACTCGAGTATGGAACACATTCGTACAGTATAATGATGTCAACGAGATAAAGTCAGTTAATCAAATGAAAATGCTGGCCCACAGATGGCTCCAACTTCATCCTGTTCCCTACTTATATGCCTCATAATAAAAATGCTTTCAAATGAGCTGATGTAGGTAACAGCTCTTAGCTTGCCAATAAAGTTAGGAATCCTTAACCTATAAATAGCTTGTCAATAAAGCTAGGGATCCTTAACCTTTTCAAACCCTGTGTAAAAAAAACAAGAATGAGGGAAGGCGGAGTAAGGGTCGGCCTAGGAAGGGTTGGAGGGAGAAGGTAAAGAAGGTTTTGTGTGCAAAGGGCTTGGACTTCCAGCAAACATGCGTGAGCGTATTTGATAGGAGTGAATGGAGACAAATGTTTTTTAATATTTGACATGCTGTTGGAGTGTGAGCAAAGTAACATTTATGAAGGGATTCAGGGAAACCGGCAGGGCGGACTTGAGTCCTGGAGATGGGAAGTACAGTGCCTGCACTCTGAAGGAGGGGTGTTAATGTTGCAGTTTTATAACTGTAGTGTAAGCATGCCTCTGGCAAGACAGTGATGGAGTGAATGATGACGAAAGTTTTCTTTTTTGGGCCACCCTGCCCTGGTGGGAAACGGCCGATGTGTTAATAAAAAAAAAATTCCATGTAAACTACTTAAGACTAGCTTAAGAATTAATATACATTTAATGTGATGTGTAATAATGCAGTTTATATTGTGTACACGCCAAAAGAATAATAAAAACATAATAATCCTGCATTATGCTGCCAGTCTGCCACTTAATGAATGAAAAACCTGAATAAGTCTAATTTGTGAATAGTGAACACAATCTTCAGACTAAGCTATGTTTACACCTGACAGTCAAGACTACGGTGCTCTTCAACAATTCCAAGGCTGAGGGACTGATTACCTCATCTTTTGTATATAGTTTTACATTCTTTACATTATGTCCTTGTATTGATACAGCCACTGGGTGGCGAAACGTCTTCAAATAAAGATATCCAGATACTGCACATGTCATTTTTTACTACCTCCCTTGTTTTGAACATTCTCATTACCCACCCCATCATTTTCTTGGCCTTCACATTTGCCTTATTGTGTTCTTTAAAAATACCTCAGCTGCCATTATTACACCCAAGTCCTTCATATGCTTGTATTGTTCTATGTGTTGGTTTTCTTATATATTATATACAGTGCACCTTTTGAGTTCTTCATTCTTTACATAACTCGGTTGTTGGAACTTGTTACCATGGAATATCATATTATTCTCTATGACTTACTGAAACACTCTTTGTATGCTCTTGTAATTTTTTTTCATTCCTTTACCAAGGTTGTCATGCTTATTTTTGTATCATCTGCAGATGATGATACGGAGCTGTGTGTGTTTCTGTTCAAAATCATAAACCTGGAGATAGTTTCGGGGGTCAACGTCCCCGCGGTCCAGTCTGTGACCAGGCCTCGTGGTGGATCAGGACCGATCAACCAGGCTGTTACTACTGGTCGCACGCAAACCGACGTACGAACCACAGCCCGGCTGGTCAGGTATGACTTCAGATGCCTGTATAGGGCATTCTTGAAAACAGCCAAAGATCTATTGGTAATCTCCCTTATGTATGCTGGGAGGGAGCTGAACAATCTTGGGCCCCTGACGCTTATTGTGTTCTCTCTTAGCGTACTCGTGGCACCCCTGCTTTTCATTGAGGGGATGTTGAATCTCCTGCCGAGTCTTCTACTTTCGTAGGGAATGATTTTCGTGTGCAAATTTGGTACTAATCCCTTTAGAATTTTCCAAGTGTATATTATCATGTATCTTTCTCGCCTGCGCTCCAGGGAATACAAGTCAAGGGACTTCAACCGTTCGCAGTAATTTACGTGCTTTATCGTACTTCTGTGTGCTGTGAAGGTTCTCTATATAATCTCCAGGTCAGCAATATCGCCTGCCTTAAAAGGGGCCGTTAGTGCTCAGCAATATTCCAGCTTAGACAGAACAAGCGATATGAAGAGAATCATCATGGGCTAGGCATCCCTAGTTTTTAGGGTTCTCATTATCCATCCTATCATTTCTCTAACAGATGTGGTAGATATATATAGTGCCGGCAGCATCTTATCTGAGAGGATACTCTATGTAATGTAACTGTCTAAGATCACAGTAATACACGAGAGAAATACTATCCCTAGTGTTACTGTGTACTTGTGCAGTATACTTAGATAATCCCAGCTACTTTATAGAAAGGTTCCCTTGCTAACTGTGACGTCACGAGGCCCCTCACACGTGAGCCGTAGGCCACAGCGTTCATCCTTTCACTCCCGGTAACCTTCGACTCGACGGCAGGCTCCTCAAGCTTCTCTTAATTATACGCCTCCAAGATATCCATGTTTATTTATTACTCCAATATATCTCCTGACGAACCCCCACGACAATACCATCCCTCAAAATGTCTGCATCAGAGATTTAAGATCAACCTGTTTGTAGTGGTGACTACAATGGTTCAACAATTTTTGGAGAGAAGACCCCTGAAGAATCTTATCCCACCATCACTGAGTAAACTTGTTGTACATAGAATGAAATGGAGTGAGTGTACCTGTTAGATGTTTAAGGCAGGGGGAAGGAGATTCTTAACATGTAGACCCCCAATGGATTGGCCAATATGTTCCCATACACCCTTCGCCAGACTGTCGAAATCGTAATCATCACCAGTCCTATTAGGCACAATATGACTCCAAAAGACAGCTTAGGGACAGAACAGTTGATAGCTTAATCTAAACTATCAACTGTTCAGAGATCGAGTTCCACACCCCCATTATTTGGTTCCCATACCCCTTAGGGGTATAGAATAAGTACTTGGGGATACTTTGGGTATCCTCTTGGGTAGGGGGTACAGAGCCACTTTACATACCTTGGGGTGTGAGAGTGACACGTCACTCTCCGTGTGTGCAGCTGCTGCCGCTGCTGTTCCCTGCTGCACGTCTTGCTAACCCAGGTAGCTGCTGCCTTTCCTCCTACCCATCACGCTCTGCACGTGCAATGGAGAAAGGGAAATGAATGAGTCCTATTTCTCCAGGAAATACAATAGCATACACGTCTGTAATATAAACAATTTGTACACACACACACGAGCCAGGAGCTGTGAATCGACCCCTGCAACCAAATATAGGTAAGTACCACAACAATAAATAGGTGTCTATCGATAAGTTCCTTTAGCAACCAGTACCTATAATACACAAATCAGCGAGTACAAGCAAGTTGCCGCCAATAACTTAATTCTAGAGCTACAACACTCTGATGACCCAGTAAATACAACACATGAGGCACTTGCATAAGACAGGATGAGATAAAGCAAGAAGCAAAGACAGAGAATGAATCGAGGGAAGAAAAGTAGCCAGTCTGACAGAGAAAACCAAGATAAAGAAACAAATTATGAACGAGGAGATGAGAGAACCAATACATGAACTTGATAACAAGAGAAGACACAGACAACAAAGACGCAACAACAGGAAATAGTGATAATGGAAAGATAAAAGAAAGAAATGCGGTTGCGGTTATATTTGCAAAAAGGCAATCATCACACCTTGTTTGTGGATCATCACAAACAAGGTGTGATGATCCACAAACAAGGTGTGATGATTCACAAACAAGGTTTGATGATTCACAAACAAGGTGTGATGATCCACCAACAACGTGTGGTCTACAAACATGTGATGGTCTACAACGTGTGGTCTACAGCGTGTGATGGTCTACAAACAACGTGTGATGGTCCACAAACAACGTGTGATGGTCCACAAACAACGTGTGGTCCATAAACGTGTGATCATCTACAAACAACGTGTGATGATCCACAGGAAAGGGGGAAGATGAATCTCATATAGAAATTTCAATTACATTTATCCTTGATACGACTCTTGAACTGCACTGGGCGAAACGTAGACAGAATGAGTGACAGATCGGTCCAATAAGAGCAGTAAATAACGACCACTGTTTTTATTTTCTTTAAGAACACTTCCTTAAGTCAGGGGCAGACTTGGTGATTGTCGCGTGTAATTTGTAAGCGAAGAAGCAAAGGAGTTAGTGAGGAAGATGAGACCAGCTCTGAGAGACTCGATCACGTTCAACAATGCCTACACAAAGATGTACCTCTCATTATAGGTCAGATATAGCAGGAAAGGAGAGAGCCAGAGGACGGAAAGTCTGGGAAAGAGGAGACTGTAAATGGTACCAGGATACACCCACGAAGGACTCAGAGAGAGAGAGAGAGAGAGAGAGAGAGAGAGAGAGAGAGAGAGAGAGAGAGAGAGAGAAGAGAGAGAGAGAGAGAGAGAGAGAGAGAGAGAGAGAGAGAGAGGGTGTTGGGGAAGATACCAGATGTATCGCTAACCCATGATTTCCACCTTACCTACCTCAAGCCCTTCAACTCCCTCAAATATTACCTCTCCTCCCACTAACATCACTCCCCATACCACTCCACCTTCCCCTCTTCTCAACCCTAAATACCATCCCCCAGCATACCTCTCGTATTGCTCCTGATATTCCCTTCCAAGCCTACCAGTGGAGCAGTACATCACACCTCTCAAACTGAAGGGTATCACAACAAGTGGTTAGCAAGTGTAATCAGGTATAGCTACACATAAATAGACACACAAATTATCATAGTAACATATTATTGTACCCACGAACGAGTGTTATTGATCAATAACAACACTGCGACTAGCCAAGGAGTCGAACCCATGCTGCTTTGGTCCGCCTCATGGTGAGCGAAAACACATGACGCTCTAGTCCACGGGACCACACAATCCACATGTGTGTAAATTACCTAGGATAACCCAGAAAGGTCAGACAGTAACCTTTTTCCATTGAGGTCCTTGACTAACTTCCATTGGGGTCCTTGATTTATTTTCATTCGGGTCTTTGACTTATTTTCATTGGGGTCCTTGACTTATTTCCATTGGGTCCTTATTTCCATTGAGGTCCTTATTTTCATTGGGGTCCTTGACTAATTTCCACTTAGGTCCTTGACTTACTTTCATTGGGGTCCTTGACTTACTTCGACAGGGGTGACAGAGACGGCACCTCTAGCTAGAGTGGTGAACTGCAAGAAGTCACAACAGAAGATATTATTGCTACACTGGAGATACAGCTCCACACGTAAAATAACGAAGGCGAAATTTCTTGCAGTTTTCAAGTCTTATCAAAGGATTGTTTATTATTTAGCAAAACTGGATACATTAGCAGTGTGCTGCTACCATATTCTATATGACAGTTACACAGTGGTAAAAAAAAAAAAGCTAGCTATGTTTCACTGTCATACCACATAGGATGGGTCTCATACAAGGTGTTGAAATCTACCAGCCTGAGCTAGGAGACTTCGGAAGGACAATGTGGATATCGTCCAGCATCCCACTAAAGATTCAGTGGCTAGGGCAACTTCAATGGATTCCTTCCAGCAGTACTGGAGTTACTATTACATAGGAATTACGGTCTCTCAGGATGAATAGAGAGCGAAGAGAAGGGGAGGAGGTGGGGAGGGAGATCACTCCAAATAAGAGATAAATGGAACGCTAAGGAATAAACGTGGAAACACGTCACCTCAGAGATTCTATGCATTCTATGGGCCGTCATATTATTGTATATTCTGTAGAGTAATACTGAAATATAGCTCAGCATGTGTATTTACACTCGAACAACATATATAATAACCAGTACAAACTTTTAACACATTGTCTTGCAAAACAAAAAAATCCAAAAATATATAATCATAAAACAAATTGTTTGAAGTAATGTGAAAGATGTAAACTTTAGCATTCTTGTAAACTGTTCATGCGCTAGTTACAGGTTAATTTTATGACGGCCCGAAATACTCTGCATAACCAGTGATTTTATATAAGGTATACCAGTAATGTCAACTAGTCCTATATCAAATATATCATTTACTTTGAAGAAATAAATATTATAGCGGAGACAGTAACGACAGGAGGGGTAAGATCTTATCGTGGTATACAACTCTCCACTGAACAAGAAAAGACTACGATAAAAAGAACAGAGCAACAAATATGGTAGAAAGAGCAACAGAGAAAGTAAGAAGAGTCTTAACGTTCATCAGCTGGGAGAATTTAATCCCAGATGGGGACTGGAAGCCTGGAAAGCAACTTTCATGGAAGCAGTGCTGAGGAACTTTGTGAGTCAGTATTTGAGGAATGATGATGATGATGATGATGTTAATAATAATAATTTTATGTAGAGCGCTAAGCCCGTGTGGATCATTCAGCGCGAGAAGTGCTGGATGTTCAATCTTCCATCTGTTAATCGTGAGAGACGATGCTGCTCCCGCTGCCAGCCAGGTTACCGGGAGCAGCAACATTTGAGAAAAATAATGAGACTGAGAGGTTTCCCTCTCAAAATAAAATAGAATATAAAGATGTACTAAGAGCCAGCAGCATGCAGTACTTAGACCATGATAGAAATGAGACTAGAGTGAGGAATGGAAGCAGAGACGCGTTACAAACCAGACTGCAAAATGGAAGACTATGAGACAATGAAGAACTTAAGTCCAGTGGGAGCAATAACGGATTGGAAAGACGACACAGCAAATGTTTGATGTAACAAACAAAAACGCGCTGTGAAGCAATGGGAAAAAAATTCATACAAAATACGAAATGAAAGTATAAGAGAAATATAGAGCCAGTGGTTCAACCAGGAATATTGATAGGAAAGAGGATCAAAGCAACAAGGAAAAGATACAGAAGTCAAAAACAGGTAGAGAATATAGAAATAAGAGCCAGAAACTATTACGGGAGAAAAAAAGAGAGACGGAGAGACAATTTGAAAATGGCATTGTATCAAAGGCTAAAACAAAACTGAAATTCTTTCAAAGTCACATAAGGTAAAATGGTTGTAAGGAACCAGGTGATAAGACTTGATAGAGAGGAGATCTTACAGAGGACGATAAGTACGTGAAAACCTTAACAGAAGTTTTAAAAAATTATAGACAGTAGAACAGCAGAAAATTGCTAAATGAATTAGACACAACAAATGCTCTGGGACACGATAAAATGTCATCAAGGGTACAGAAAGACTCTCTTTAATAGATCACTGGAGAAGGGCAGCTGCTTGACATCTGGAAGACAATATCTGTGTTCTGCTTATTTAAGAAAGGAGATGATGCCCTGAACTACAGACCAGTTTCACTGATCTATATATGTATCATAAGTTTTGGAAAAAAATTGTAGGAAGACTGATGGATCACGTAGAAATCGGCATAGATTCAAGGAATGCAAATTCATGCATAAGAAATCACTTGGCTTATTAAGGAAATATAAAGAGAAGAACTGAGTTTAGCGACCTGTATTATCCCAGACTACAGGAAAGTGTCCGAGACAATACCCCCACCAGAGGTTAATTCAGAAGCTGGATAAACAGGCAGAAGGGACAAAGTGCTAGAGTGAATCAGAGAATAACTGACAGGCAGGATCCAGAGCAACAATTAGAGAGGAAGAATCAGAATTGGCGAAGCTAATGAGCAAACACCCCCAAGGTTCCATACTGGGGCCCCTACCGTTTCTGATACACCTAATCTAACGGGATTGAATTATACGCTCTTATGTTTTTTGATGCTGTAAAGATGGTGAGAAAGATAAAAAGAAAGATTGGAAAACAATATGGATTGGATGACCATATGTTAAAATCCTGGTTAGACAAATGACGCCGATAACCCAATCCGAATAAATTAGAAGTAATGGTGAACGAAGAAATACTGAAAGATCAAAACAGTGACTCAAAGAAACGAGTCGGACTATCCTAGAAGCAAGAAAACAAAAGGGGAATATAATCACGACCTATAAAAACCCGGGAGGGATTGACAGGGCAGAAAAAAAAAAGTGTTGCTCAAGAGAAGACGACAAGATACAAGGGAACATAGATGAAAGTTAAAGATGCATGTAAACCGTAGGAACGTCAGGAAGTATTTCTTTAATCCCAGGGTGACTCAGAAGTAAAATTAACAGAGACGAACACTATACACATTTTCAAAAGTAGGTATGATTAAAT